AAAATTTGAACTAGCCAACCAGGTAAGGGAATAGATTGTGCGGTCAAAACCCTAGCCAATAGGGTGAGACACAGCCTTGAGACTTGTGTCAGGGATTAAAAACCCGAGTGGACTGCCCACTCGGTGTGCTCGCTAGCCTGTTCGTGTATGTACAGCTATGCGCGAGCACCCTCTTGCAGGAGTAAATTTTACTTTGCCAAGGTAATTTAGTCTCACCGAGTGTCTTTTATGCGACATCGGGATTCATTTCTAACACAGGGTATCCAAACATTCATCCAACCCCTTCGGTACCCTACAACACCCACCACAGGACCAATAGGAAAGGCCCAAGATCTAACATCCCACCCTGTCTTGTGTATTACCTGACCCAGTTTTTCACTGGACTCTCCCATAGGAACTTTCAAAACCCTTGCACATAAACCCTAAAACTCCCACCACTCACATGTATAAACTCCTATAGGTCCACAACAGGAGCCCCTAAAGTTTGTAGCCTTAAATAATCCCTGTTCAACCGCTTCCCCTCAGTCACCCCCTAAGATTTTCTCACCCCTCTCATATTACACCACCAGTAGGATCTACAGCCACTTCACAGTACTGTGACTCAACATGTGCCTCAAGGCAATAGGCCCCCAAGTCAGGGGAGACTGTCACATGTTACCCATTAATAACACTCGGTGTTTCTGCATACTCAAAGCCACAGGTTAGCACTAGAAGCAGGCACAACTCCAGCCTTGCCTACTCCATCTTCCTACAACCTTTAGGAGCAACCAACCCACTTAGCAACCTCCCTGTCAGCCTGGGAAAGAGCAGCACTTGTGGACAGGCCCCAACATTTCTTAACTTTCCAAATCCAAGGATGTATTAACTTTCACCAAGGAGTATTTTTCCTATGCAGAAAAAAACCTTTACATGTGCCTACTACTAAAGGAGCTCTGGTAGCGTAGTGGTTACGAATCGGGCTGTGAACCGCAAGGTCAGCAGTTCGAAACTACCAGCGGTTCCGCGGGAGAAAGATGAGGCTTTCTGTTCCCATAAAGATTTACA